AGCTCGCCGACTGCCCCGCACATGAGACCCCTCTCACCCCCGAAACTGGCTGCCGGGATGAGTCCGTGCTCCGGCCGCGACGACTAACAGCACACGCATAACGTCGTCCCATGTCACGCACCGGCCGCCGACGTCCATCCGCATTTCCGATCTTCTTCTTCGAAACGTAAAACAGACTTTACGCCGAGAGAGGGAGGGGGAAGCAGGCGGCCATATATAGCTCCCCGCGACTTCTCGCGTCTCGCTCTGCACCTATCCGGATTGCGCTGCCAACCAACGCCCTTCTCGCGGTCTTGCTCCTGCATCGCATGGTTGTTTCACGTGCAGGTATCCTTCTTGCGTGTTTCCCTATACCCCTTCATATAGGCGAAATCTCCCGCGCGGCCAAGGACATATTTCTCCCCGACTAAGAACCAAGCTCTGGGGCTTTGCACCACTTACACAGCACAACAAGCAGCTAACTATCAACAGACGAGAACGCTGGTGTGCTCCCCTGAGGAGCTCCTGCAACTCGCCGAGCATCGATGTAGTGTGCAAACGTATTATCAATAGCGCTATCCCGGCGTGTCATCGTTTGGTGTTTTGGCGGCTCGCGACTTTGTGAGGAAAGTCGTGACCGGCACCAAACACTGTTCAATTCGCAACCCGTTCTAGATACAGTCAATCTGTGCGGTCCGTCTTGGCACTTGAAGTAGGATTATTCGTGGCCTTTCACAGGCGAACGAACCCTGATTACCGACAGTCGCGTTGAATTCTGCCGCGGCTCATGATTTTCCGTCTCGCTTTTCCTTGTACATCTGATATCAGGCACCGACCCATCATGGATCTTGCTGACTGGTTTCCATGGCTTTCAAGCCGCTATTGCCGATCTCGTTTATCAATTAGTGCTATCAAACAAGCAAGGGGCAGCAAGTCACGATGATGTTCGTTTCCTCGGCTTGGTTTTCCCAAGCCGCACCTAGCCAAGTACGGAAGGTAAGGGAACCCATGCACACGCGACCTCAACAGAGTTCGTCTCGACTGCTCAGTTCCCACTCGGCCCATTTTCTCCACACCCCTCCTCGCATTATCCATCTCTGTTTCTCTCCTCAAGTCATTGCTTGTTTGAGACGGGAAAAGAAGGGGTTCAAGGTGCTTACGAATGGACGCCTTTGGGCTGCGCCACGAGAGGAGGCTTCTTGCGAGGCTTTCTCAATAGATGACTCGGCACGTTCACGAAGCTTTCTGTGACAGTCTCGCAACCGCTCCTATGGGCCATGTTTGAAATCAATTGCTATTTTCTTTTGGGTTCATTGTCTTTGTCTGTTAATTTTGCCGTTCTACTCGTCTGTTTCTATCAGGCTTTGACTGGTTGCCGTAGTCCAAAGGGTCCAAGGGACGTGTCCAATACACACGATAAACATCCCATTAGACTAAACCGACTGATTCTCCTTTACTTCTCTACTCTAGGCTCAAGGTTACAAACCTTACATTACGTACCGGATGGAAAAACACACTACGCGAGGAAACGTGTGCGGCAAGGTTTTCGATGCTTTGTTGCAGGGGTTCATCTCGGTTTGGGCGAGGCTCCGAATGGAAACCTTGACTCGGCCGATACCGTTGTGCTGCGTGTGCGAGGTCGAGGAAGCAGAGGGAGCTTGGGCATTGTTATTGCTTTTCGTCTTATCTTACCGAGCCGAGGCACCTACCTACCCAACTTCAGCATCCATCCCATGGCATTTGCCATGACCTTGTTTGATCGCATTCTGTTGTTTGCGGGTTCATTATCGGTCAATGGAGAGTAGACTTTCCGAACCTCGGAGGTCTAAAGGCTTCTTTCAATCGGGAATTTTAGCTCCGTGTTCGATTCGTCGCTGATGATTACCAGTGTTGCAGTTGTTGTTGATAGTACCAAAGTGGCCAAGGTAACGCGAGGAGAACAGCTACCTCGAGGCATAAGCATACCAATGTTAGAGCTAACTCCGATGATATGCTTGCTTTTTCATACCAACATGTTCAGTTCATTGCTGAATAGTTACCCTTTGATGTCGTGAATCGGGGTCGGGTAAGATGCATGTTTGTTGAAAGGTGGATTGTGCCTATCATAATGCTCTATTGGTTCACTGGCTCCTTCATAAGCCGTGTCTTTATGATAGATTGCGCATAGGCTTAGTGTTTGCTACACTTTGCCATGTCGTGTCTTGGAACTGTTGAGTATTCATAGTCAAGTCGATGCCACATTGCCTTATTCGACTGCGAGAAACTACACAGGAACGGCACCCAGAGAAGATGACCCAGACCCGAACGCGATGATCTACTCTCCATTAGGGGTATTCATTGTCACCAAACACTCGAAGAATTCCGTTGCTGTAGATACGGTGTCCTAATTGAGGCGGGAAAGACTGCGAGAGGCTTCCCACAACCTCTTATTGAAACGCAACTCTGGCCATCCCGTACCCCTCTGAGTCTTCGATCACGCGCCGAGGGGCACCATCAGGTCATGAATCAGGATAAAAGGAAAGAAACCTCGCTAGACACTAAACAGAAATTCTTTTGTCTGAAATAGGGGCAGAGAAGTCTACGCAACTTACGAATAAGGTTGTTCCTCCGTAAACCAGTTCACGCTTCTTTCCGATTTAGAATCCCTTGGTATTGCATGCCACTGGTCATCTACACGAAGAAGAACATTGTGTTAAGCATCTACGAAGAACAACTGAATAGCCATAAAACCAGAAGCAAGTGTAAGAGCCATGCCGCTTCCGCCAAAAGCCGTAGCCTCTCTGCTACAGGAGGGATCCGCGAACTCCATCATCTTCACTCTATCCTAGAGATTCTCCATAAGGCGGCGGTCCTAGTCGAAATGTCCGCAACATCACAAGCCGGGTGTAGTCTGCCTCGTAGTGCCTCCCTAAGACCTTGAAAGACTTGCGATGGTTGAGCAGCGGGGTCCACCAGCTTCTGGTTCATCCTCACCTGTGGAACAGATCTGGCCATTGCCGGTGCCACTGTTTTGAGACCCGGGAACTCATCGAACCAGCCGTCCAGCAACGGGCACCAAGATGCGCTCTCTGAATGAAGGAGAAGGCGAAGGAAATTTCTCTTCATATGTCTCGTCTAACAAAGCTTGGCAACAAGTTCCTCAGGTGAAATCGGCCCCGCATGCACCCACGTTGGTGCCTAGTATAAGTATGGACCCCCCATTCCCTCCCCAGTGAAGAGCTCCTTTGTCGGTTCATCTCCCGGCACAAAGATATTCTCCTCGCTTCCTCCGCATGGCAGAACCTTCCTACTCGAGGGACGAGCTCGTCTCGGAGCTCAAATCGTACTACGAATTCCTCACGCGGCTCTTCCTACCGCCAGAGGTCGTCCAACACCCTCCCGAGGGCGGCTGGGAGCACATCACGCCCGACTTCGTCAAGTCGTTCTGCCTCGGCAAGAACGACACCGTGGCGGATCTGATGAGGCACATCCCCTACGTCAGCCGTACCAAGGAGGACCACTGGGATCCGTGGATGGTCTACGAGGGCGCCACCGCTGTCGACTTCACCGGCGACGTCGTCCTGAGCCTGCCCACCAAGTACGCCGACGAGTGGCTCTTCGAGCCGTTCGAGGGCAATATCTCGACCGCGCCCCTTCCGCCCCATGTGTTTGTTTACGCGACCATCCCGTCCGGCCGCGACGGTCATTATATCCTCGTCGATACGGAGCGCGGCACGATTGTCCTTGCGGATCCCCAGACTGGTCCGAAGCCGACCAGGTTATCGGATCCTGTAAGTCTTGCGGGGATGCTGACTTATTTGAATCTTTTCACTGTCTGAATACGCTCCTAACCTTGCGTAATACAGCAAGCACCGGACGAAGAAGCCTGGCGTAGATTTCAAACTTACACGTTTCACGAGTTTTTCGCCATGGCCAAGGAAAAGTTCAAAAAGTTTGAGATGGTATGCGCAATCTCCATGATTCAAACGCTGCTATTACTTTCTTTGATGCTCATTCCAAACACACAGATTGCCATGAATAGGAAACAAGTATATTATACCACCCGGGACACACCGCAGGCGCAGATATACCGCGAGGAGGGCGTCTTCACGGAACGGTATGACAGGGAGAGGTGCATGAACAGGCTGGACGAGTACCAGGAGCAGGAGGACCGGGAGAATCGGCAGAAGCGGGGGGAGGAAGAGCCCGCCGGTGCCTCCGCCGAGAGGCATATCCACGATGTGGGCGCCTCTTCGGGAGCTGTATCCTGACATCAGGTTTGTTGACGACAAAAGCCTCGATATGATGGCAAGAGATATTGGGTAGCCGTGGAAAACAAGAGATGGATGACAAGAAGCATTACCACCAGTATTTACAATCTCTTTTAACATTCAACCTGCCTTTCCGCTTCTTTATACCTCGAGGAACACGTCTTGCGCCCATAGATGCACTTCCAAGTAAATACAACTTTCTCTATTGATTTTGGCTTCACTACGTCCCCGTACGAGAAGAATTAGCCCAAATGATAACTAAGTAGATGTTTGCCATGTCCGTTTAGATCGTGTCTCCGTACAATCGCGGCCTGTTTGTAGGAAATTCTCTCTTGCTCTGATAACGCGCCATACGCCCGTCCCGTATACAGCCGTTGGGTAAACCACCCTATCTGACCTGGCCTGCCTGGGAAATCTCGACTCATGAGAATGTATCTTATTTCGCCATTTCACAATGAGAAGTATGATGTATCTGATGGAGATTCAAAGATATGAGCACGACCAAGCCTTGTTGACGTTTAAGGTTGAGGCAGGACAGTATATATGGATTGGGTATGACCCCTGAGGAGCCTTCGCGTCCTTCTAGCAGAGACTGGCAACAGAGGTTGTCTCACAAGGCAACAAAGCTAGTCGACGATACGGACGATATATCTCGGACTCCATTGATTTCTTTCTTCCATGACATCGTCCACGCGTCGTGAGCTTCTAAACTAGAAGCTCTCGTTCCCCTGAACCCGCCCATCCCAATGAATCAACAGACAGAGTGCAGATTCACGAGTACAAACGACCACGGGTCGGGACCGAGACTGGCTCAGAAGAGAAAGAACAGTGCCCGACGGTAGATGAATCTACTACGCCCCATCTCAGAGTCTTCTCCCACATCTTTCCCTCATCCGAGTCAGGGTGACAAGCAGCAGAGATGGCCGCGCTACAACTGCCCGCCACGGGCATGACCCCGAATCGCAAACGACGTCTCTCCGTGACAACGAGGAATCCCATCATGAAGATAGTTACCACGAGAACACACAAAACCCCGAGTGGCGACCATCCGCAGGCTGTCACACCGGCAAACGAGTTCCCCTCTACTAGTCGTACCATGGACCTGCCATCAGCTGAAGGGACATATACCTCCAGGTTGACGAGGAAGAAGCTCTGAGAAATGAGCCAGTGAAGTCCACCTGAAAATGTTACAAGAGGGAATGAGTAGCGGTACGGCAGTTGAAGAAAGTAAGTATCTCGCTGAGCTCCTCTGCGTGTAGACGAGACGCGAAGGCTCTTTGCCTCCTTCTCGTTGCCGAACCTGTCACATTCAGTAATCAAGGATATGCTGGTGTACTGGGCATTGTAGGTGAAGTAAATGAGTGAGAGAATAATTTGCGGCGTGTTGACAAGCAGAATATTAGCAAGTATAGATCCCTGACTCATGTCACCCGTGTTCAGGATGGTCTTGGTCTGCATGGCGCCGAGACCAAGCTTTATGATATCGCCGCCACCTGACATGTGATTCAGGCCTCCAACCAGCAAACTTGCACAGGCGATAATGAGTCCAAAGTACCTGGTGGCGTTGTCAGCATGTTGATATAACGTAAGGAGGGAAACGCAAGCATACAGCAAGAAGCATAGAAACCAAGCCCCTGGGCTAACGGCGACAGACTTCCGTTGCGGTTTGAAATCATATTGTATTGGACCTTTGGACCAATGTTGGGCAACGAAGTGGTCCTTGGACTTGAGGCACATATCCGCAGTCGACTCATCCTGATCTTCAAGAAAAGAGGTCACTGCATCCCCAATGGTCATCAGAGGATCTTCTTCGCCCATGCCGAAGGCGACGAAGAGCATCAGGACGCCTTTGGCAAAGTTGCACGCCGTCACAGTCCAAGAGAGAGTGCTGCTGAAGAGGAGCTTGCAATGCTCTTCAGTCTTTTGGCTGTAACATTCCTTGACGCTTGATCCTAGAGGCTTCCAGCCCCCCGACGTAGTTCGCAATTCGACCAGATAGTCCTCGCATGTCGAGTTACCGGCGAGTATGCCGGCAATTCTTTCTCCGGATTGGCCGCACATCCAAAGATATGGGTATCCCGAAATATTGAAGACCTCGGCTGTACGATTTTCTTCCTTCTTATCATCAGATACAAGAAGTAAGTTTCCTCGCGAGGACTGGAAAGCGACTCGGTAGGCGTCGATGCATCGTGTTGCGTCCATTTCCTCGACGTTATCGCCAAGAAAATCCGAGTACATGCTCTTCCAGTCGGCACTGTTGAGTGCGCCTTCGGTCTTGTTCTTTGAAACGTACGAATTCGTATTCAAGACGCTGTAGTTGTTCACTGATGTCGAGCTGAAAATGATGGAGTTGTATCTGATTGTTGATCAGTAAGGGCTTCAACGGAGGAGGAAAAGTAGAAGAGAAGATGAGGAAGTGTCATAAGCATACTCACACCAGATGTAATGGAAGGGATGAAGCTGTAATTAATACCCAGACAATCTTCTTCTTCCATGTGATGTTGCAAAAGTTTCGAATACTGGCGACCCCAACGTCAAGCCAATTTTGTCTGGCGTGTGCGTCGTCAATCTCTGGCCGGGTTGGCGCCATCAAGCACTGCATACAGTAATTACTACCAGCAAGAAGAATTATACCAAGGACGTTGATCAGAATGTGGACCCCGGTATTTAGTATTCGGATGGTTGAACAGTCCGTATCAAGCAAAATACCGACACCGTCACTTATCGTGTCACGTTTCTGGATGCTCGCCCATAGTGTGAATACAAAGTTGATTAAAAAAGTTGAGAAGGCTGCAACGGCGAAGTAAAACGCAGCTTGTCGCCATCGACTTTGGGAGAATTTGGATCTACCCAGCGTGATGGCCATCGGTGACGTTGAATGGAGTAATCGCAGAAGAGCATGTTGGAATAGAAGAACATGAGCCAAGGCGAGATGGGAGATAAGGGTCTATTTTAGAATTGCAGACACAGGGAAGTTCTTTCTTCGATGCAGCCTGATCTTCAATTAGCCCTACCAAACGATCGAAGGCTGGTTCGGGATGCAGCATGCCTGCCCGGGTGTCTCTCCGTTAGGATTTGCTGACTGCAGCAGCCGCAGTAGTATGCATACGCCTTCCACTCAACGAGGCTGCCTCTCGAACCACAGAAACCTACCTAAGGTACCTTCGGTAGGATCCCGGTTAGAATACGCCAGTAATGACTGCCGACAGAACTGTCACTCAAACGCCCGTCACTCTCATTTCGCACTCCGGTAAGACCCAAGACATTTCAAAGCGGAAAATCCATCGCAATCGGTATGCCTACTTTTCATCTACCGTACGTCCGGATTCTCCTTCATGCTGTTTCAATTGTGATATTTCCGTGCCGTAAATGCGACCAACCGTGCACCCATACACCAATATTTTTGTGATCCCTCATGATAAATACCCGGCCATCCTCAAATCTTATTCATTTCCACTTGTTCGTTTCCTCTCCATCTCAGAGATGCTTAAACGAAGCCCTTGAGCACAGCAGCCTCAGCATTGAGGATCGACGAGCCAGCAGCGCCAATAACGGTGTTGTGGCTAAGTGCAACAAACTTGATATCAAAGATTCCGCTCTCGTCCTCCCGAACGCGGCCAACGCTGACGGTGTACCCCCTACCGAGGTCGCGATCGAGTCTCGGCTGCGGCCGGTCAGGCTCGTCGTGCACGAGGATAGGGCTCTCCGGCGCCGAAGGGCACCCAAGCTTCTGCGCCTCCGAGACGTACTCGCGCAGCGCCTTCTTGACCTCCTCGGCCGAGGGCGCGGGGCGGCGCGCAAACTTGAGCGAGACGCAGGCCGTGTGGCCGTCGAGCACGGGCACGCGGTTGCACGCCGCGCTGACCTTGAGCTGGCTCTGGTCCTCGAAGGCGGTGAGGTCCGAGGTGATGGTGCCGAGGATCTTCTGCGCCTCCGTCTCGAGCTTGTCCTCCTCGCCCGAGATGAAGGGGACGACGTTGTCAATCATGTCCATGGACGAGACGCCCGGGTAGCCGGCGCCCGAGACGGCCTGCATGGTGACGACGGAGACCTGGTCGACGGGGCCGAAAACGGCTTGCAGCGCCGCGAAGGGGATGACGAGGCCGATGACGGCGCAGTTGGAGTTGCAGACGAGGAAGCCCTTTTCGAGGTTGTGCTGCTTGCGCTGGTGGGGGATCAGGTCGAGATGGGGGAGGTTGACGGTGGGGACGACGAGGGGCACGAGGGGGTCGCGGCGGTAGTTCTTTGCGTTGGAGAAGACGGCGAGGTTGGCCTTGAGGAATTCCATCTCTGGTTTGGTCGTAGTGGTTAGCCATTGTTTCTCAATCTAGGCGGGTGCAGTCATTTCTTCGCGGGTATTGGAATAGCAGTACTTGGGAACACTCACCAATCTGGCCGGCAACGTCAGAGTCGAGACCGCTGAACACAACGTCGCAGTCGCTAAACTCAGAGGCCTTGCACTCGCGGACGACGAGGTCGGCGACGGCGCCCATGGGCGAGGCCTGCTTCCACCTCACGGCATCGCGGTATTTCTTGCCGGCGGAGCGGGACGAGGCGCCGACAGCGACGAGCTTGAGGTACGGGTGCTGCGACAGAAGCAGGATGAAGCGCTGGCCGACGGAGCCGGTGCAGCCGAGAACACCTTGAGGTGGACTCTGAAATTAGCTTTGGATTGTTCGATACATCTTGAAAGGCGCCAAAGTTTGCATCCTGCCAATGTCGAGGTTTCCCGATGGCGGAAGGCGCGGCGATGGCGGGGTGGAGGGGCTAAAACGTACCACACTTCTTGACGGGGAATTCGCCCATTGTGGAAGATGATGAGGGGGTATCGAGGGTATCAATTGTCGAAAGGGAGGAATTGGACTGAATCACCGAGGGCCACAGCTTGGAGATAAATACCTAGAGAAATTGGGCGGATTGGCAATGTGAGTCAAGGGGAGAGTGGCATGTCGCCGGCGGCGCCCCGGCCCAATAATTTTTGGGGTGAGCGACCGACGTCGGTTGCACCCCGCCATGCCCCGCCATCGGAGCTTTGGCTGTCGGTGGACAAGACATTTCCCACTTCCATTAACAAACTTCAGTCTCCACACCCCACCACCTCGGCCAACGGTCCAATCATCGTCAATCCAAAGACCGGCCGGGATCTGACGAACATTGAATTCAGCATCCGGTGAATAAGAACCTGGTCTCATTGGTCTCGCAACAGCTGTTATCATCGTCTGTCACCATCCCGGCCGTTCGATATGAGGCAATCCCCGGATTCCATCCAATTACTACGCTACCTACCCTGTACCTGAACCCTTTGTGCCGCCTGGAATTCGCGAAACAACTCATGCATGGGTCTAGAAAACGCCTTTTGCGGAAACAACTCATGCGTTTATTGTCTTTCTTACTCTAACACTAAAGCAATGCTGGTCGAAAACATTCCGATGTGACCCAACCCCCAATGACCCAGCATCCTACTAAGCTGCCGTCAATAAAAGACACTTGAGACAGATCAAATCACATCTGCGGCTGACACAGGCCGACCAAGCATCGACAACTCAAGTCCTGGTTCTTCGGCCGCTTCTTCATCATTCTGTGGGGCGTTGCCATTAGGATCTCGCAATCTTCTTGCAACTTTCAGAGTATTGAATTGGTCCAGATTTGGAACGAAGCAAGCGGCGATCAAGAGGATAGCGGAGAAAGGGATGATGGCGAGGAAGATAAATCGAAGTGAATAACTGTATCCGGCTTGAATTGCGTTGGTAATTGCAAACCTGGAGAGTACGCTCACTGATGTGAACGCCGTCAAGTTGGTTTTCCCGTTCATTGTTGCTTGCTCTCGGATGGCGGTGACCAGTTGTTTCAGAATAGGGCCCGGCAGGATAGCGTCCAAGACAACGGGCGTGACGGAGTTGGTCAGATCCTCCTCCAGCTTTTTCCTCAATAACAAGGTAACCAATACCCTTGCGAAGGCACAGCCCAAGCTACATATTGAGCCGAGGACTCCTGATGCGAGGCCGATATCTTGCGGTTCCCACACAAGGGTGACACCAGTGATGGCAATGGCAACAATGTGACCAAGAGCTAAGACGTATGTATCAGTCAAAAACTCTCAGGCAACACCTGGGGATCGCCGCAAGACTTACCAAAAGACGCACATATGCCCACTAGAACAATTAGTCCATGGCGAGTGTCAAACCATATAGTGCATAATGGAGCCATGAGAGCCAGAGCCACACCTGACGCTACCATACACTGTTTTCTGGAGCGTTCACCACGTAGTGACGGTACAGCTGTCAAGGCTATTCCGAGTGTAGCACCAAAGGGTAGCAATGCGGCAGACCAAGCAACCGTGTCCGAGTCCTTGTTGAAAACCTTTCCGATAACAAATGGCCAGAGGACGGTGAGGGCGTAGAAAACTATCGAGGAGAAAGTTGCACAAGCAACGAGACTTGCGAACTGGACATTCTTGAACATCTTTGGAGGCATGAGAGGCTGTTCGGCGGTGAAAAATGCTTCTGCGATACGTTAGAAGATATGTCAGAATATTCGAATGCGATCCAACCTCACCGTATATTACAAACAAGACAAGCGCTGAGAAACCACCGACTAGGGTTCCAATGACCTCCTTGCCAACAGAAGGGTAGGAGGAGATTCCCAAACAGAATCCGAGTGGCAACAAAACGCAGCCAGAGACGTAGAGGAAGATGCCGACAAAGTCCAAGTGCTTGATCATCTCAAGCTTGGTCTTCCCAGCCACGTTGAGCTGCTTGAACGAAGGTGGGCGATAAAGTCCCAGATACAAGAGAAAGGAGACGAAAGCAAGAAATGCTCCCGTGTAATAACCCCAACGCCATTGCACCGAACTACCATCGTCTAACAGGGATGGGATTGTGGCAGAGCCCAAACCAGCAACAAGGAATGGCAGTACAAGAGTGCCGGCAGCTGTTCTTGCTCTGTCCTTGTTCGGCACGAGTTCGGCCACAGCAACTCCAAGAGGTAGCTGGGCGGCAGCAGCCATTCCGTTGAAGATATTGGCGGCAATGAGCATCTCGGCGTTGACCGCAAAGGAGCCGAGGAGGCAGCCGACGACTCCCAGAAGGGAGGTTCCGACGATGATATGTCTCCTTCCGTACAGGTCCGAGAGTCGACCGAGGAGGAGAAATCCGATGGAACTTCCCATGAACTACATGATCGGCGTCCAATGCACCTTGTCTGTCTGAGGTAGGTCTGTATGGAACAGCACACTATTGTAGGTCATCAGTATGAGCTAAGGGAGGCCGCATCGTGTTCATGATCATAGCACGTACCTCGTGTTTCCGGGTGCTACCCAACCCAGAAAGGCGGCTGTGATGCCCAATGATTGGGCCTGGAGTGTATCAGTCAGATTTAATAAATAACATAAAGATGGAATGGATTACTTACCAACATCAATAGCCAGATACTGCCACTTTCTGAAGAGATGGTAGTGCCGAGAGCGTCCCTGTCCACATTCCGGACGGTCCCGTCGATGTGTGTCACTTGAAGATGGCTTCCCATGTTTTCAAAGTCCCAACAGTCGTCATTTCTGACGGCTTCTTCTCGAGCAGCCTGTTGCGTTTGCGGGTTTCGGACCACCCTGACTACACCGTCGTCGACCATGTCTGTAAATTTTGTTTGAACTTGAGTGTCTGGTACTGAATAGTTCAAGCGAAGTGCCAAGAATAGAATAGCTGTGATTATGCCTGCAGGTGATGATGTGTTGGTGTGATGTAGCTCGGAAATAGAAAGGAGACGTGGGAGAGGCAGACATGCCCTTATGTCCTCGCCGATCGTCGTCTTCCTTCCACCCACTACTACTTTATTGGAGGAAGTTTCTACCTTCCAACCTGCCTAAGGTGCCACAGAGATCTCAGATTTATCAGGCAGGTGTTGTGTTGGTGGAAGATCGCGAAGAAGACTTGGATGGTAATCGTCCTTGCCCGATGAAGCTTTTGAGTATCTGGGAAGTAGCGCTCTAGAGCTGCCTGACCATCCAAGTAGGTACCTCACAGGCCCCTGTGTCAACTCACATAGATTCTGGATTGGAAGGTTCAGCCATGTCATTTACAGTCCTGCTACTGCACATACCTGGATTAAATCGGGCTGCTAAGAGACGAGATAAGGTCAAGAGTGCCCTGAGGTAAGAACGGGAGACGCCAAGGGCCTTCCCGCTTTCAGAATCTTTCGTGTGCTGTTCAGCGGAAGATGTACTCGAGTGCCTTCTTCAAGGAGTATTGGCGTGGTCTCAATTGCCTTATCCTCTCAGCCCGCAATGACATGCGTTCTTGTATACTGAGATTCATCATTGCCGATCTTTCCCTCTTGGAAGCAGTGCGATGTTTGCAACCTGGGAAACCTAAGCTACCTAATCTGAACCAAACGGTGATGAAGAATCACCATCGACGAGTCCCCCAATAATCAGGCATGAGCTCTACTGGCTGGACCCGGAAATTGAGGACTCATTATATACACATTTAATAGTCAAGCCTATTTCATATCGAATCAATTCTTCAGTATGATCACCATTACATCTTCCAAAGGGCACATCCCACAAACCATGAAGCTAGAAGAAAATAGGAAGTCAAAGTGATTTTTTGAAGGGGAAAGAGACGATGGACGAAGTAACTGAAGAAACATAGGAAAAAAGAGACTGTTCAAGTTGCCTGTTTGGAGGATGTGTGGAGGGAGAGAGTGTAGGAGGATGAGCAGGAACCAATGCTCGGCAAGGCATTTTCATCACCAGTATCTCGACAAGGAGTATTGTCCTTCAGCTTGCACTTTCATGTAGTTGGAAAGATCCATACACCTCATGATATCATTGTGTGGCTGTCTCTTTCAGTGGCAATCATAGCAAAGAAGTGAGTAAAGCTCATCTTCGTTTTACAGGCCATCTTCGTCTTAGAACCCTCAGTGCCTCATCTCTCACTGCTGAAATTTGACCGCAAGCTCTAGCCACCTCAATGTACCTTAACGTAGATACATCAGACAGAAGGCAGAGGCAACCCCCATGATGGGTCAGGTACCGCCTGAGGCAGGAGTCTTCAACTTGTACCTGCCGTATTCGCCTGTCGTATTCTGCCTACCGCCCAGATTTCCCCGGGTGAACAAAGTCTCTCCGCTTGGAGCGTCCCAACTCCTTCTCAACTTGTTCTCACCCACATCAGACGAGAGCTACCGTCCCAAAATCGCGATGAGGGCAGCCCATCTCATCGCCGCGCGAGAAACGATGAGTGGGCTGGTGAGAGCATCCCATACCAATTCTTTCAGTCGGAATTCTGATAACTAACTTGCTGAACAGCTCTCTCGATATTTTGCTTCAACACTACAACAATCTGCTTCCAAAACTTGTTCGAAAAACCTGCTCGAAAATTTGCTCGAATAACTCGCTCAAACAATATTGCAGGAGCAGGCAGGGCCCCTTGTTTACAAGGGTGCTCTCGCCCTCCTTGCAATCACCTGTCAGGTCATGACCTCACCTCACGAAGGGCGGGAGCAAGCTGTCATCCACAAGGCTGCTCCTGCCCACCCTGCAACTATCGTGAGTGAGGTCACAAATTCCTCACAAAGGGGTGAGAGCAGACAAGCCTGTCACTCATGAGGCCGCTCTCTGCCCTACCCTTTGTGATGTAAGGTCATGGTCTCACAAAGGGAAGGAACAGGTGAGAGCTCTCGTCTTGAGGCTGCTCTCGCCTCTTCTGTGAGATTATGGCCTTTCATCGCAAAGGGCGGGAACAGACGAGGCTGCTCTCGCCTTTTTGTAACTCTCGTGAGTGAGGTCATGACCTCACAGAAGGCGGGAGCAGGCCGGGCATCAGCCCATGAGGCTGCTCCCGCCCTCTCAGCAACTTTTGCGGGAGGTGAGTGACCCACGATAGCCTCATTTCAAGCCCTAGCCTTGCCCTGTGGGTTGAATCTGAATCCCACGATCTCTCTATTCTCTGGATTCCTCTACCTCTCAGGAAATCACCCACCCTTTGCTGTTTGTTTACCTTCTTCAACCTCCACAACTCACACATCAGCAGTCACTTCTCTTCACACAACAATCCATACACACAACCCTTTCCCATACCCATCTCAAGCTTCTACTGCTTTTTGCCTACATCACTTTCTCATATCCAATCTCATCATTCTCGAAGCTCTCAATTCTCGAAACCGTCGTTTGCGAAATTAACAACTTCAGCATACACACTCGCGATGGCTTCAATGAGCGATCTCCTGGCTGACCCGGCTGACAGAGCCATGTTCATGGAGCGCCTTGAGCAGCTGGGCATCCAGCACGACCGCGAGCAGGCGCTCCGGGCTGCTGCGATGGCCTCGCAGAATGCCGGCCAGGCTGGCGACCGCAATGGTCGCAAGTCCACCGGAAAGTCCTCCTCCTCCTCGGAGGAGGATGGTGAGACTGGCGGCGGCGTCCGCCTTACCAACGAGTACCTCGCGGGTAACCCGTACGGCTTGCTCGCGTCTCTTGACACCGCCGAGAAGTCGGCGCAGTTGAACACTTCCTCTCTGAGAGGCAGTCCTTCGTAAGTGACATCTGTTCTACGGCATTTTCTCATCACCACTGACATTTGATAGTCGTTCTTCCAAGGATGCCGCCAAGGCGCTGCGTCCTACTTCGTCCGCCACAGCCGCTGTGTAAGTTTGGAATTTCCATCACGTTCTGGACATAATCTGACTTTGTTTCACAGGAGCGGCAGCCGTTCTACCATCCCTGAGAACACCGCTGGCGACGTCTTCACAGAGACCGCGTCTGGCTCAGGCAAGGATCCCGTGGTCACGGCCTTGTCTTACACCCTCGGTCAGAGCAACCCCCAGACCTCGGAGATTAGGGGCAATGGCATGTCTCAGCGCAACGAGTATGTCGGTGGCTCTCCCAGCAAGGGCATCTCTTCCTTCGTGCGCAATGTCGCCGATACCTCTCAGTTCGGCTTCCCTACTGGTTCTTGCATCTTCGTTGCCAAGTAAGTTCCAACCTCGAGAGAAGCTCATTACTGCTCAACACTAATCTATCGTATCAGCCTCCCTGAGTACAAGGATGACATTACTCTCGAGGCCGCTGTGATCAGCGAGTTCGACCGCTTCGGCGTTGTCTTCGTCAAGATTCGTCGCGATGGAAGCGGCATGCCCTACGCCTTCGTTCAGTTCAATGTAAGCAGCTTTCCGCATGGTATTCACTCTCGACAGCCTCGCTAACACAATCACAGACGAAGGAGGATGCCGAGGATGCCCGCATCCAGGGTAGAGGAAGCTTGATTCTTGGTCGCCCGTGCCGCACCGAGACTGTTCGCGCCAACCGTGAGTTCGTTCTCCTCATGTTCTCGTGATTGAAGCTGACGTTCAAACATAGGCACCTACATCATCTACCGCCATGATCGATTTAATATGACGGTTGAGGAGGCCCAGGAGCTCTTGACTCCATTCGGTGCCCTTGACAGAATCAACCTTTTGGACAAGGAAATTCAAGAGAAGCTCGGACTTCCGGTCACTGTTCGTGTCCAGTTCGCTGTTCACGATCCCTCTCAGCAGGTCCTTCGGGCTTTCCGCATGAACCACACATACAGGGTTGAGTCGTACGACTTCAAGAAGGCCATGCAGATCCGCGCTCGCATGCCTCACCGTCCTCCCATGGAGAACAACACTGCAGAGCGTGACGGTCGTTCCATCTTCATGGGTGATCTCCCTCTCGGTTTCACCGAGGACAAGATCCGCAACCTCATGGATCAAATTGGAGGTGTTGTCGCCGTTCATACCCAGCAGTGCGCTTACGAGGGTGAGTCTCAATCAAGACCTCTTATGCTTATGTGAACGAAACTGACAGCTGCACAGACGGTCCCAAGCAGATTGCTTTTGTTGAATTCACCAACGTCAGCTATGCCCGGTCTGCCATTGAGCGTTTCGTAAGTTTTACTTGATTGAAGTGTGAAGAACCTTCAAGCTGACATGCTCACTAGAATGACTCCCTGGTCGAGGACCACATCATCCGCGTTCAGCAGCGTATGGATAGACGTCGTCGCTACGGCGGCTTCAACGGCGGCGGCAGCAACCGCGCCTTTCAGAACAACAGCTACCATGGCAGTGTCGCTTCTACTCCTGCTCGTCTTAGCCATGTTCAGCAGCGCCTGACCAGCCTGGCCATCGAGGCTGCTCCCTCCTCCGAGGCTGCCCAGGGCACCCTGACTGTCATGCCACCTAGCTATCCTCTCAACCCCAGACATGGCCCGATGGTTGGCACGCAGTCTCTGCAGGCTCCGCAGAATGGCAATTGCATGCAGCAGAACACTCAGCAGAACACTCAGCAGAACACTCAGCAGAACACCCAGCAGAGCGTGCAGCAGAACATGCAGAGCATCCAGACTCAGACTCAGATGCACCCACAGATCAACAGCAACCAAGGCATGCAGATCCAGACTCAGCAGCCCTTCAACAACCAGATGGTTTCGCAAATGCAGATGCAGCCTGGCCCGATGCAGCAGGTTCAGCCTGCTATGCACTCTCCTATGCACATGCAGCCCATGAGCCAGCAGATGAGCAACCAGATGAACAACCAGATGAACAACCAGATGAACAACCAGATGAACAACCAGATCGCTCAGCAGTCTCCCATGAATGCGCAGCCCATGGGTCACAACATGAATCAGCAGATGATTCAGCAGGCTCCCATGAACGCGCAGCCCATGGGTCAACAGATCAACCAGCCCATGGCCCAGGGAATGCCCATGCAGCAGACTCAGGTCCAGTACCCCATGGCTCCTCCCCCCGTTCCTTCTCAGATGGGAACTCCTATGCACAACAACAACAATGGCATGCCATACTACGCTCAGGGTGGCCCCGTCCAGACCCCTGTTCAGCAGTCTCCCGTTGGCTTCTGGGGCTACGGCCACGGCACTCCTCTCTGGACTCCGTTCACTCGCGATTTCGCGCCGCACTCTTCTCCGGCCCACCACCCTCAGATGCCCTTCACTGGTCTGATGCAGTCCGAGCCTGTCATGACTGATGTCAACCAGGCCTTCGTCACTGACGGCTCCGACCGTTCTAACTAGACTCCGGACTTCTCTTGGTTCATTCCAAATCTTTCTTTCGAATCCTCTTTGGGTTCCAAATAGTGTGTTTACCCTTCTTCGAATCTTGTGTTTTACTACAAGATTTTCCTCTTCAACAAAAGTTTGGTGGTTTTTTTCTTCAGATACGGTGGGAACTTGAAAGCATTGGAGGGGTTCAAATATGCCAGGACCTTGGTCTTGTACTCGAATGATCGGAATGACTCGATTATAGAGAACAGGAATTGGGGATCATAGATGAACTTGGGTTTTGTGCAGAAAGCACCGTTGTCTACTCGAGGTGTAAGGACACTCCCTACCATTACGGATAGATCAGTCAGGAATGCACGCTTGAGTAGACCATTTTGAGCCTCCCACTTCGCATGTGATTGTGACATACTGCATGTCATACACTTCTAGCGGACATGGAGTAAATCGACTGCCTTGGGCAGAGACGGGGTCAGTGGTGCTAGCGCGTGATAATGCTCCCTAAGTCGGCTGAAAGTTTACAGAGGCAATAGAGGTAGGTTCACGGGCAATCGGTTTGATAAAGGTCTGAGAGAATTTTGAACTCAGCAGTGTAACGAATTGACCGAATCAGACTGTACAAACCCGTAGTGTAATCCTGGACAGCTTTGCGCATTTTCCACGGCAAGGCCTAGACTATGATGACCTCAAATGAATGGTGGTCGTAGGGAATGGGAGATGAGGTGTCGTTGAAGGCGGAACACGGTCTTTCTTTCCCCCGCATGGGAGCTCGAGCTCGTTGTACCGGTACCCATGTACCTTACATTGGTGCCGAGAGCTCCAAGACAAGCGACCGAGAATATTAATCTGAACAAAAGTTGAAGATCGTGACCGGAGAGCTGAACTCGCCAACTTTCCCGCCGAAACGGAACACGGAGAGAGGCACGGAGGGCAATTGGCAATCGCCGCCCACCGACTCAACAGCACCACGGGCGCATCGCGCGAGCGAGCTTCGAATCCGAACAGCCGAAAAATCACTTGGAAAGCGAACCTGTCGGCGGCGCCGGCGAAACGATCGCAAAGATGCGCGCGACACCCTCACTAATGGCCAAGGGCATATTTTCCCGGACCATGGACGAGTTCAAGCGTCGCGCAAGTATTGGTAGGTTCCGACTATACACCAAGTACCCTTACCTGGATTGTACAGGTCAAGAAAGCTAATGCAACATTGCGACAGTCGCAAAAGCCGAAGGCATCAAGGGCCCCTCGGGTCCCTACATCCTCCAAGACTTCCGCGCACCGGGCTCGACCGACGACTGCAAACTCATGTCCGACCAAGAGATTGGCGGCTTCTCCCACAGCGCCCTCGAATGGGTCCCCTCCTCACCCTCCTCGACAGCGACGACAACATCACCACAAAGCACACCGACGACAAGTGCAGGCCACGCCCGCTTCCACGGCACAATATCAACAGACCTCCCCAAAAACGACCCCAAAATCCAACGCACAGGCTTCGCGGCATGGCGGACGCCAGACCAGAAGCCCACGCTCTTCGGCAAGGCCGTCTGGGACATTGACCCGTACTCCTACCTAGCGATGCGCGTTAAGTCGGACGGCCGGAGCTACTTTATCAACCTGCAGACGGACTCGGTGGTACCAACGGACCTGCACCAGCACAGGCTGTTCGCCAAGCGGCCCGGGGAGTGGGAGACGGTGTTTATTAAGTGGAACGAGTTTGTGCGGACGAACCACGGCTTCGTTATTGAGCCGCAGACGGAGATGCTAAGGTCCAAGGTCACGACGGTGGGCGTGGGGCTTACGGATCGGGTGCCGGGGCCGTTTGAGCTTTGCATTGAGAGGATTTGGGCGACGAATGATGTTGATGAGGTTGATGGGGGCAGTGAGAGTGATATTTTGGCTGCGGATGAGGCGAGAGAGACGCGGGAGAGCGAGTTGAGGAATCGGCAGGGGGAGAGCATTCGTTGGAAAGAGACGTGAGAAAGTGGGAGAGTCTTTGAGCAGATGCTGACTTCGAAATTGGGAGTGCCGGTCTGGGAATGCATCACAAAGTCCTGAACAGAGCAGGTTCGCTAGAGGGCACATTCTGGCTTGGGGGAGAATTCGAGTTTAACAGTCGGACCGGCCGAAGATCTCAACCTGTCATCAAATATTGTAGCAATATCTGTAAGATAACGTACAAATGTAATGCATCATGTCAAGAACCAGGTGTTATTCTTCGGGGAAAAGACGACATCGTTCAACGTAATACCTCAAAATAAATCTTGTTCGGTGAAACGCTAGTGTGTTTTGGAAGATTTGCAATTTAATTAGAATAAACAGCCTTTCTATGCGAGATATTACAACTTGGACGTATAATACTCGACAGCGATGTGTGTCGTGGAGGTAGTCGCGAGACACACGTTCTTGAGCTATTCAAGCATTGGTGGCCAATCACATTTCTCGCTGGCTTCTGTGGAGACGCCCAACATCACAGAAACCTCACTGACAACATCGAGACTAACAAACAGAAGAGCTCTAGCCGTCAGGATTTCGGACATTGTTTTCGTGCTTTCGAATCACCTCTTGCCCGGCTGACATCTTCTGGTGGATCTCGATTGCTACGAACCTTCAGTTAGGCGCGACGCGCTGTGCTGCTTCATCTCACCTAGCTCAAGTGACATGGTCAACCGCGACGCCCACGGGTTCACCGTTCACGCCATCCGATGAGCTTCCGGGCAAGCCAAATCTATTGGGACTAATTTTTTGCCGAAACTGCGTATCTTTCGGGAGCAGAGCCCACAATGGCTCGATACCTTACGCCTGCCAAGATTGGCCTCCTCGCCCTCATCGAACTGTACACGGACGAACATGTCCCCGCCACGGCAATCATCCCCGTGCTTTCCTTCATCACATCACACCTCCTCGACCCGGACCCCCAGTCCTTCACCAACACCGCCAGCAAGGACACGCGTTGGAGGAAAGCTGAGAGCACCGTCAGCCTCGTCATCGGCATCAAGGACTTTGAAAAGCTGCTGAGCGCCCACTCCGTTGTCGTCGGCCTGCCGGGGCGGAAGCTATGGGACACGTTCCTTGCTAAGCTATGGGGGATCAACTCCCTCGACCTCCTTCACGACTTCTTCGCGCGCCAGTCGCAGTGCCTGGCCAAGACAAAAGAAGAGCTGCTGCGGGCGGCGGGCGGCGACGAGACCATTGCCGCGCAGTTGCTACAGGAGCAGCAGCAGAAGCCTGGGATCACACTGTCGAGGAACTCACCGCTGGGTCAGTTTGTGCGACGGTGCCAGCTCGAGTTCACGAGGCTGCTGTTCCACGATGCGACGCAGCTCTGGACGGATTTCGTGCAGTATCGGCAGCCTACAGCGGGGTACCTCCGGAAGAGGAACCCTTCCTTCGGCCGGCTCAGCTTCGACAATGTTCTCATGACAGGCGAGCAGTCGGAGTGGGACCTTGAGGGTGTTGCGGCGCTCACATCTGTCGTCTATGGCGACATGGTGAGAAATGGTACTCCTGCTGCTGTGCCGGTGAGCACAGACGACATTGAGCTCTTGCTGGAGTTCCAGATCGAGCAGATGCAGAGTGAGTAAATTTTCTAGGTTTTAAGATCCAAAGCTGACAAGAGTAGAATTCGGTAACCGAATACCATTGGAACTGAGGAACCAGTTTCATGATCTCCTTGGCGACAGCTTTCTCGTGCCTAGCTTGAGGCATTATCTAAGGCAAGTCATTCCGACCATTGTTGATAAACATTGTTGCTAACATTCTGCAGTTTCCTCGATGCTTGGAGATCAGGCGACTATCCTACAGCATTTGATTTCCTGCATCAATACTTTGACTACACGATGCAGAACCGAGACAGACTATTCTATCAATACGCCTTGATGAACCTGGCAGTTTTGCAAGCAGACTTTGGGTGCTACAGAGAAGCCGTCGCAGCCATGCTCGAAACCGTATCAACGGCCCGTGAGAACCGTGACATGACCTGTCTCAACTTTGCACTCAGCTGGCTATTCCATTTTGGCAGAGCCCATCCGGACCTTGTGAGAGACCTGGAGGCAGACAGTCTCCTCGGCACAGCCAAGGAGAGTCTTTCCTACCTGCGAGTCAAGGCGAAGGAGACGGGAATGTGGACATTGTGGGCGTCGGTGCTGCTCAGCGAAGCGAAGCTCGGCCTGGCAAATGGCGAGAGCGTGGCGACATCGGTCGAACTTGTGGTCCGCAGCTCTCACCTCATTGTCGAGCGGAACATGAAGAATATGTTTGGCGCCCAGCTGTCCATCCTGATTGCTCTGTGGGATAGGCTGGGGCTGTCGCAGCTCTCGGCCATGGACTGTGAGATTTTCTTACGGTGTCACGCGAGACATTCCATATTTGACGACGAGCTCAAGGTCACATCTCGTTTGGCGTCGCAACTCGCGGCGAGAGGCAAGTTTGACGAGGCGTTGCAGAAACTAGAGGCCCTCGACGAGAATGCTCTGCGATCATGGAAACCGAGCCAATACTGGTACAAGTACCGGGGCATCATCAAGCTGAAGCGGGACCTGCACCACAACAACCTCGACGGCGCAGAGCAGCTGCTCTCGCAGCTCCTGCAGTCCAAAAAGGACGACTTGGAACCGGACATGGCCTTTGTCGTCGACTTCCTCCACATCGACTGCCTCACCCGGCGGGGCGACCTACAGGCGGCTTTCAACAAGGTTGAGGATATGCTGGCGGCGATTCGCGACGATAAGAGAGACATTTCGCTCCGCGTGAGGCTCATGCTGATCAAGGTCCACCTGTATGACAAGTGCGGGCGGCCGCAGCGGGGCTTCACCATCGCCATGCGCGCCGCGAGCATGGCATGGAGGGCGAGGCTGGTGTCCTGCCTGTGGCAGGCCATCGGCGCCATTGCGAATATCCTGACGTCGCTGGGCGAGTTCGAGGCCTCGGTGCAGCTCCTCACGGCCGTCCTGCCGCGGAGCCTCGAGTGCGATTCCGCGGCGCTTAGCGGGCAGCTGTACTCGTACCTTGCAGACGCCAACATGGGCATCGCGGGGACGATGGCACCGCATTCGGCCAAGAGGCGGGAGTACCTGACCCGGGCTACGGGTGCCATACAAAAGGCGTTTGATCATTATTCGAGTATCGAGGATATCACAAGGCAGTGTGAGATGATGGCCAAGAAGGCAACCATCATGAAGGTTGCGGGGGATAAAGTGTTGGCGGCGGATTACGCGGCTGCCTATGTGGCTTTGCGAAAGGAGGCGGCAGCACTTGCGATATGACATGTTAGCACCCCCCGCCATATCTGGAGAGGGATACGATGAGCCGCAGATTTACGTAGCACAAGACATCAATACCCTTCACGATGACACTCCTGAAGTTTTTTAAAAAAGGCCGCATCTCTCGATTGCTGTGACATAGGGAAAATGTACAGGATAGTCTACCCCCTCAGCAGGCGTGTCACACCCCGAGTCTATGGATCGCTCCTTCGTCTCCTGAAATCAGCGATATCACGTTCACACTAGACGGGCTTAGTTTAAGCCTTGTCGGGGTTGTGGTAGTTGACGTTGTCGTTCCAGCTTTTTCTGAGTGTTAGTCTGTTCTACAAATTCAATTCCATGCCCGGCTCCGAGAAAACGTACAAGATGGTCTTGTCACCGTTGCCCCATTGGTAGTTCTTGGTGCGGATGTTCTGGTAAGAATACTCGACGCGCTCCTCCAGAGGGGGCATGTGGCTCCAGTGGTCCCAGTGCTCGTTCCAGAGGACGTAGGCGTTGGCGGCAGCGAGGCCGAGGGCGGGGATGCAGGCGCTGTGAAGGCGAGGAGCGTCGGGTTAGCATTTGCACTCTTCATATCAGGCTCCCATGTCTCCCCAGCAATTCCCGAATCAAATCCCGCGCTCTTTTCCGGCACTTCGTGATACGCAGTTATAGCGGCATTGGCCAAGATGGCTGGGCAAATATCGAGCGGGACGACAGAGTCGGTGCTCGAGGAGACTTCGACTGAGAATTATGGAGGGGTGGTGTGCATACTAGATGGAGATCTTGCGCCAGAGGCCTACTCAATATGTTAGCATCTCATGTTTTTCCCTCCATATTGTATCCGGTCCGGGTCCTCCCTTCGCCGCTCGAGGGGTCAATTGAGCCCAATTGGCTCCCCAAAACTCGAAACATTGAAGTATGTCGGACTCAAACAGGGCGGAGAGAACGAACCGGTGGTTTGCGCGGCGTGGTGCTTGGCAGCCTCACGCTCCTTGATGAAGGCGTTCTCGGTGGTGCTGGCGAAGCGGCGCTGGACGGTGGAGCGAACGGCCGGGGCGCGGGCGGCGCGCGCGGCGGCGGAGAGGAGCTGACGCTGCATCTTTGTGTTTGGGAGATATCGGTGGAGGGGAGAGGTTTCGATTTCGACCGGGTGGGCGTTGGTGGTGGATTTCGAGGTTTTGTGAAGTCGGAAGTCGGAGGATCAGGTCATTCTCTATCCAGAGCTCGGCTAGCGGGAACGTTCACGGCCTGGCAAGTGCCTGGATTATAAGGCCTGAAGATGGCTTTTGGGGATGACTAAATGATGTCAGGTCATTTGCGGAGAAAGCAGGAAGGGAGGGCCCGGGTTCGGTACGTACCTCAACCAACACCAGATGCTCGTCTCGGCTTACCTTCCTGACTTCTTCATGTTGATTGATCGAACAAAATTGGTGCAATAATTCTGGGAAATTCATTTGCACTGAAAGATACGTGATTAAGATAGAAGAATATGTTGCGTCCATGTGTTGCAGCGACTTGCAGTATGTCGCATTCGGTCACGTGCGTAGACAATCACGGGACACCGCGCAGACCGTCGCGTTCACCACTTCAATGACGGCAGCTACGTCGCGTTGACCAGGGCTTGACAGTTTAAATGAGGCGTCCCAGTGTCGGTCCTCAAGCAACTTGATTCTTTTGAAATTCCACTCGCAACCTTGATACCCTAGTCATTCATTCCCACAATTGGAGGCGAATATAGCAGTTGAACCTCTGGGCTTGATGCAGCAACCCACCCTTTGACATCTCGGGCATGGGCATGAAAACGACGTGATCTCGGCGTTTGTGAATTCGAATCTTTTCCAATCGTGATACCACCAGCAAGCGAATCACCGGCCAGGATGGGGTTGCGTATTGTGACATGGAATGGTGAGTTGGGTCCCTAGCATTTGACAGACGTTCCCGCTCACTCACGATCCTTGTATCACAGTCAATGGCATCAGGTATGTCATCTTCAAATGAGGATATCCATGTACTTCAATTGACACTACCAAGAAATCCGTTTGGGTACCAGCCATGGAGCACACAACGAACATTTCAGGTCCGTCATCCTCTTTCCTCGTGTGTTCCCACTTGTTACTGACAAAAGCTTATAGGCGATGTTCGAAACCCTCGAGGCGGACATCGTAGTCATGCAGGAGACGAAAATTCAGCGCAAAGACCTCAAAGATGACATGGTACTAGTACCTGGTTGGGATGTATTCTTCAGCCTACCGAAATACAAGAAGGGTGAGCTCACAACGGTCATCGTCCCTCAGTATGTTTCTCACCTCTCGCCTTAGGATATTCCGGTGTCGCGATATATACTCGGAACGCAACATGCTGCCCCATCCGCGCCGAAGAAGGCATCACAGGCGTCCTCCCAGTCCCAAACTCAACTACCAGCTTCCGCGAGCTGCCTGAAGACCAGCGGATCGGCGGCTACCCGCGCGCGAGCCAGCTCTCCAGCGAAGTAGACGAGGCGACGCTCGACTCGGAAGGCCGGTGCGTCATCCTCGAGTTCCCGGCCTTTGTGCTCATCGGCACCTACAGCCCCGCGACCCGCGACTCGTCTCGCGACGACTTCCGGCTGGGTTACCTCGGCGCCCTCGACGCACGCGTGAGGAATCTCGTCGCGGCCGGGAAGCAGGTCATTTTGACGGGTGACCTCAACGTCATTCGCGAGGAGATGGACACCTGCAACCTCAGGGAGACGCTCCGCAAGGAGGGCATGACTGTGGAAGAGTGGATGCAGGGGCCAAGCCGTCGGTTCATCAACCAGCTCGTCGTCGGTGGCCAGGTCGTCGGTGAACGCGATGAAGGAAAGGAGGCGCCCGTCCTACATGACTTGACGCGCATCTTCCACTCCACCAGGCAGAGCATGTTCACTTGCTGGGACACAAAGAGGAATACTCGACCAGCGAACAACGGCAGCCGGATAGACTATATCCTATGTTCATCGGGCATCAAGGACTGGTTCACGGACTCAAATATTCAGGAGGGGCTGATGGGATCGGACCACTGCCCCGTGTTCGCAGTCATGAATGACGTCGTCACAACGGATGGGAAGGAGTCACCGGTACTCGACGTGATGAACCCCAGTGGTATGTTCCACGACGGTAAACGGCTGAGGGAATGGTCACAAAAGGACCTTCTTCCCCTATCCGCGAAACTCATCCCCGAGTTCGACCGAAGACGCAACATCCGCGACATGTTCATGAAGAAGCCCACCCCAAAGCCAGCACCAAGCCCCGTATCGACTCCCCTCGAGTTACACAATCTTCCAACCGAAGATGATGGCGACTACCCTGTGACGACTCAAGAGACGCAAGACCCGGAAGCCTCGCAGGAAACCACGACGACCGAAGGCGTGCCCGCCGCCTCACAGGCATCCATGCAGTCCAACACGGCAAGGTTGCCACCCCCCAAGTCGACACCCTCCTCGTCACAGAGCACCAACCCGCTCGTAAAGCGACCAGCCGAATCAGCAGCATCTGCTAAACGAGCCCCCAAGAAGTCGAAAACCAACGAATCCGACGGCAAAGCCCAGAGCACCCTCATGGGCTTCTTCAAGCCAAAGAACCCGCCACATCAACCACCAACCCAGTCTTCACCCACTCAAGCAGACGCGGCAAAGACCAATCATCCACCATCACCCTTCACCAAGAACAAAGCCGCAAGTGGCGCTGCTGCTGCTGCTGGCCCAATCCGTTCCCTCTCGGGACTATCAGAAGCGGCGGGCACGGCAGAACAACCCGGCAGCAACGGCGGCGGCAAAGACCATACGCCTCCCTCATCCTCCTCCGCGAAGCCATTCGAGACGACGACCTCGGAAAAGGTCTTTGACCCCATCGAGGTCAAGGAGTCTTGGTCAAAGTTCAACCTGGGGAAGAGGGTCGTGCCAAAGTGCGAGCACGGGGAGCCCTGCATCAGCTTCCAGACCAAGAAGCCGGGCGTCAACTGCGGTAAGTCTAAACCCAACCACACCACACACGCCTTTACCCCCTTCTTACTCGTTTATGCGTCCACCGAGGCCTCTGTCCTACCCTCCTCTCCCTCATCCCCCGACATATCCCGACCTTTCTCCCGATCCCCATCCATAGCTGATGATCCACGTAGGCAGGTCGTTTTTCATCTGCGCCCGTCCTCTGGGGAAATCCGGAGAAAAGGAAAAGGGGACGGAGTGGAGGTGCGGTACTTTTATATGGAGCAGTGATTGGAAAAAGAGCCAGTCTTAGGCGTCGTAGTCTATACATTTCTAAAGGGGTGATATGGAGTCACGCGAGATTCGATGAACAGCATGTGACGAGTTGTAAACGTTACTATCGAAAAGAGACAGCTAGGTACTTTAGTCGTGCAGAAGGAGAGATTAAGGCAATGAGACATGAACATTATGATTTCATTATCGTTTTAGTAAATCTATCAAACAATCTATATCGCTATTGTGGTGGCTCATCTTCGTATCATGGCAGAAATAGACATCCGATTCTTCGGCAGCGACGACGCGAATTGCTCTATCCTTTCGAGTCTTGCTCTGCTTGAAGTAGCTCACTCTTTGCTTGAACCCCATCAAGAGCGCCGCCACCGTCTCCACCCGATGATGCGTCCAGAATCCGCCCATCTTGTGAGTAGAGTAGGTGAAACCGCACGAAGCGGCTCCGGAGCCTTACACGAAGTCCAGCCTATCCTGGGCTTCACAGGACCTTAAGGTCGCAGAAGAAGTCTCTTTGCTCCGGCTGACCATGATAAGGGCGAGGGCCGGGCACGGCATGTCTGCTTAGTTCTGGCCCGAACATCAAGTGTTGGTGTTATGTCGACTTTCTCGGCGCGAGCTGGAACACGGCTTTGAGGGAAGACGAGGCATACTCGGCCTAAGGCAGCAGACGAGGGTGCTCCTTCGCAGCAACTTGTAGTCGCGAAAATTCTTGCACAGTCATTGAGACCTAGCATGATAGGAACCTATGTAGCGACGTTGTGATGGATCGCTTCTTGCTCCTGTTATCCTTTGGCTCCATCTTTAGAACGAGGTGGCGAGGGCGATTAGGCTGAAGTGCTCCTCCGGTTGCGACGACGTTTCTCGGAAGGCTTGCGTGGCGTGTACCGATAATCAGGGTGCATCTTGTTGTGGCGCTCCTTGTAGGCTTTCGCGAGAGCCTTGTATCTTTCGCGGACTTCATGAGACTCGTTGTTCCAAGCTTTGCCTAGGATTCCGGCTATTCAAATGTTAGCGAGATGGTGTAGGGCTGTTGAACTTCAGCCACCTACATATATCATTGTTCTGAAGTTGAGGGTTCATCTGCTTGATTTGGGCTTGGTAGTCGCTGCGGTAGAGGATGAAGGCGTTGGGAGGTCGTGTGATCTTGACTCTTCGTTCAGGAGCGTTGACGAACTGGGTGGTTGCACCCGGTGCTTCCTCGAGGAGTTGTGGTGGTGGTCGAGGAACGACGACAGCGATACCGTTGACGGAGACAATCATGTGTGGACCGGCGATGAACCTCTCACAAGGCCCAAGAACCCATCTATCGACGTTGGAATGCATTCCGTCCTTGACCCACATGACAGGTTGGCCCAACATGCGCCTGTGATGAAGGTTAGAGACGTTATGAAAGGGTGGTATTAGGCAGGCACAAAGTAGATATGGACGCGTACCCCATCTGCAATGCCATGAAGAGCCGGCCCTCCTCGCCAAAAGCAAAGTAATCTCTTGCAGAGACGGCTATGGTGGACTCGAATGTGTTGAGGCGGAGATCCAAGATCTCTGTCACAATCTTAAGGATCTCGGGGTGCACTTGGGTAGGATCAATGTCACGAGCAACGATGTTGCCAGGGTTGAAGGTCAACGCCATGATGAATGTAAATGGCGGTGTAAGGTAGAATGCCGTATCAATAGGTGGTTAGGGGGTGTTTTGCGTGCCTTGTGTCTCTTGGAGATATTGAGTAACAAATCAAATAAGGTCCTGATGAAGTGGTGACTTCTTTCTGGGCTGTGATGGAAGAATCTTGATTTAAAGCTGGCTGTGCCGATGGTCATAAATAAGAGATCAGATCAAGCGGGACCCCATGTGGATGCGGATGGCAACGGAGGATATCCGGGACTTGTTGCGGGAGAGATTTGAGGGAGACAACATGGTCCGCACCAGGATGTTTCTGGAGTAGTCCATGGAGGTGGAAGGAAGTCCTAAATTGGGGAAGAAAGCGCCACCTTCCCCTCAGGAAGCGACGAAGTCACCTCATAGAATTGGCCGAGGACGGTTGGTTGTGGTGTGGAAGGCCTAGCATGTTTTTGTGGGACGATGTCTTGAGGAGGAGGAAGGAGGAGGTGGAAAGCTGCAGGGGGGGGGGGGGTGTACGTGTGTGTAGGTACGTGTGTGTGTGCGTGTGTGCGATGGTTGCTTCCCACTCCAGGCCTGGCCAGACACTACCTTAGACTTGCCGGGGTTGTCTTTCCTCTTCGGAGGGGGGTGGGTGAAAGCTCTGGGGGTGTGAGAATACCCAGGTACTTGTCATACCTTACCTCTCCTCACCTTACCTTACCTACTTTACTCACCTTCCTCACCAACGTGCCTGCCTTACCAAACCCATCTGTGCCAACCTCGAATTTGGAGATGGGGACCTCCACGATCGGACCCCTGTTTGGGACACGGTATCTCTCACACTGTACACACTTGTATCCTTCGAGGCGCCTGTCTCTCTTCAGTCGCCAAAGGTACCCAGGAAGCTCCCCTACCTTATGGTAAAATGGTACTTTGTCTGGATCACGGCCCGAAGATGCAGGTACCTCGACCTGGCTCAAGCAACAGAAGCCAGGCTTACCTTACCTCACCGCGAACCCGCGAAGCAAGCCTCCGGCTGTCATCTACCTTGCCTTGTCAACGGCCGCCGACGGTCCCTTGGCGAATCTTTGTGCTCCTCCGTCCTCGACACTGCCAGCTGCAGCCTCCCTTCGCTACCACTACCTTGGCTTACTTCACGGATACCTGCGGCAGTCTCTATTCAAGGATAACCCCTCTTCCCACATATGCTTGACCTGCTGCTGACTTACACTAGAAGTCAAGAACCACTGTTTTGTGTCCTCTCCGTGCTGGCGATCTTCCAGCCGTGCGCGAGTACTATGATGCTGAAGCCGTCCCGAAACCGCATTCTAAAGGGCCCAAAAAGTAAAGTCTGGGGATCGTATCGGTCGTATCAACGCTGGGGGCACGAGGGGATGTAGCGAGCAAGCCAAAGCCTTCTATCACACGTTACTTGAGCGTATGTGTTTGTACAATTCAGATCGCCGACTCGGTGATCATTCTCTCAGCATCACATCTACGGCTCAACTCGATCACTCGCTATCGCACTGATGACTGCCTTGTGTCCCTGTCGCCTGCGCGCTTAGCGGGCTGTGCATACGAGTTGAAAGAAACCAACGACGCACACAACGTTTTCTCTCGCGTATAATTCCCTTCGACGGCGGAAGCAACACCAACGGCCCGGTTGAGAATCAAGCAGAAAGCATATGTGCGGCGGTCAGTGCAAGGAACATGCCAGGCTGGCTTCGACACAAAACGGTTGCCCGCCAACTTGAGAATCCAGCATCCTGGATGAGAGTATGACATCGCCCGTGCTCGATGACATGTACCTGCATCTCAATCAAAGTCGTAAGCCAACGTATCACAGCCCCAGATTTGCACAAGCTGTCCAAACTGCGTTTACGAAGTTTTGACGACGAGATGGGACACTTGTCGGTGTCGAGGCAACAGTTGGCTTGTAGCCTCTTTTCGAGAGTTTTTCGCCGCACCACATTGTGCAAGTTCTGCTAGCTCAATAAGGCTTAGGCGAATAGGCGAGGTGAACTACCTTGGATTGGTGTGTTCCCGTCACGCTTGTCTCCTAGATACTCCAGTGTTTGGGCCAACCTTCCCCCTAAAATCTCCGTCAGATGTTATCGCGAGCGCTGCATTCGGTCAAGGGTAGTTTTTGGCTTATACAATTTGGTGTCGTCTCTTCTTTCTTCTCTCATCGCGCCCCCAAAAAGCTATTTTGATCTCATCTTCTTACTAGATCCCTATTATCGTTTCTCTTTTGTACTTTAGACTCCCCACCATCCTTACATGCACTTACACCTCACTTACCGCCACTGTTTACTCACCACACTTACCGCTTCGCCTTCGCCAACAATCTTGTGCCCGTTCTTTCAAGGCACAATGTCTCACAACGAAGAATCATCACCGACGGAATCCCGTGTTGTTTTGAGGACCCAGGGTATGAACGAAGTCTTACCGCGTCATGATCTCGACATGTTCACGTCTGCCGGAACGTACCCGCACGGGAGTTGGGAGCTCTCTGAGGTCGGTCAGCCTCACCAATTCCAGGCCGCTTACTGCGTGCGAGATGCTCAGGGGCAAAAAGTACGCGCGCCAATGCCGCTGGTCAGCCTCTCTGCAGTTACAAATCAGGAAGAAATCTATCAGCACTGCACAGTCTATCACTATGATCCGAGTGAGTCGCGCGATTGGCAAAATGACTTTTCAAAAGCTGATCTTGAACAGCATGCCAGAGCCGACGTAGCACAGATCACCACCAGACAGCTTCCGCCATTGGCCAGCACCAACACCATCTCAATAATGCTCTGCTACAGGAGCAAAGCAGTTACCAACCGACAGCATTGGACGTCCAGGTGATGGATCAACAGCACATCCCTTTCGACGTCCAGGCCGATGACTTTTCTCGGGGTAGTGCTGCCCTCCTTTCTAGTCCGCCAGCATATTCATCAATAGCGGCACAGCGCGCGAGTCCCGTGGAAAAAGACGGGGAAATGACGCGAATATCGACACATGGCTCAAACATTATCTGCTTTCCATCGGATAACGCCACTAGTGAATTTTCACGTCGAGAGGATTCGCTGGTTGTCAACGGGTCTTTCCACAGTAACTCATACCATGAGGCGCTTCAGCATTCCGCGGCAGACAATCTCAGTGGGCTTGGGCTGTTCACTCCTCAAGAATCACTCGACACGGGCGCACACGGAGAAAATTTCACGATGAATGACTCTTTCACAACTATGGCGCTTTCGCCCCATACATTGTCACTCGATGAACAGGCATTCGACGAGCTTTTCCGCCAGAGGCACGATGCCAGCTATGACTTTGACGAAACCAATGTGAGAGGCAATCCAAACGAGGTGGGAGATGGCTCAGCCACGGTCAAGAAGGAACGATGAAACTTTGCCTTGCTTGTTTTTTGAAATCTCTATTTGTTCGGGTTTAGGCATGGGAGGCAAATTGAGGACAGCAAAGGAGGAAAGTTGGGGGCCATTTTCTGCAATGGGGCTACTATGACGGAGTTCAGGGTAAGTGGAAAGGGCAAACGACCAATTCTTCATTCTTCTGAAACATTAGAGGCCGACTCAAAGGAGCTAGCTGCTGGTCTTCAGCAATGAGTTGACCGCCTCTCCAGGCGCAGAGTACTACAGCCTGGCTATGGAAAGGCGGTGGGGAGCAAAGGCAGGGACTAGGATTTGGTGATGGCCATACCCTTTCTTGCGCCATTTGCCATTATTTCACGTGGCTGGATCATTTTAGGATAGGCGTGTTGATCAAGAATCATGAAAGAAGCAATTTGGGCGAAAGAATTCAGACAGAGTACTTGCATACTTACCCTTCACGCGTCTGCCCCTGTCAGATTATGCGGAGAGGTCGATGACCACGCACGCCAATGGAGACAGCCGGAGCAAACCAGAGCCATGTGATGCTGGAAGAGGCCTGGAAGAGGGCTGTAGGAAGGAGCAAACAACAAAGGAACCTCGATGTGCCAACGGTGGTTTTCGTGAAGGCCATTATGATTGGGTACCGAGAGATGCAAGAAGGAGCAAACGTTGGTAAGTTGGCTGCATGATTGGGGGGTTAGACGAGGGTCGTCGAGATTAGCAACCGGGCTAAACCCTATTGGTTCAGCCTCAGCCAGGCAGTGGACATGGGTACCTTGTCGCCCTTTCCTGCCCGCCCTGTGTGCCTGTGGGTACATGGCCAAGGCCGCACAGATCGTCCCATCTGGCACTCACCCACTCTGTCACCCACTACCTTAGGTAGGTGCTGCGTTCCACGGGCCCCATTTCTTTCCCCGAATCTCAATTTGCTGTCTCACCCTTCAAATATGCGGGAGAACTATCGCAAGACATCACCACATCATCACGGAACAAGGGGAAAAGAAGCAGAAGCAGAAAAGGTTCCAAGTACGCTAGGAGAATTACCACCCACGCCTGCCGCGCCTCACTCGTATTGCAACTCATATCGAGCCTGATGTGGTGGGCACATCCCTCCCACTTTCAATGCAGGACAACCTGACCGCAAGAACAAAGCCACCAATGCCATACTCCATAGCTGCGCCAGCAAACATCTCCCCGCATTGGTCGAGATCGACGCCTGGATCTAGCACTTTCATGGAACCGAGTTCCCTGCAACGCCAATGATGTTGAGACAGGGAGAAGGCTGCGCTGCGCTTCAAGTGAGAGCGCGCGAGACAGAGAGAGAGTGAGCGTTGGTTGACTGGGGGGCGCCTTTTGGTTAAGCCACCACCTCGGACTCAAGATGTGCGGGCGGTCCGCTCAGTCGCATCAACGCAGTGCTGTAGTTCATCCCTGCCTTCGCTTCATGCAACGCGTGCTGGCTCAAGAAGGTAAAGTTGGTTGCGGCCTTACTAGCCTCTTCCCTGCTCCCCCTTCTTTCTCTCTCTTCTCTTCCAAGCTTTGTCTTCATCGGCGAGAGCAAAGAAATGGAAAGAGACATCGTCACTAGTCCAGCCTTCTCCATCGGCATCCAGACACTCTGTGGCATCTGTACGCATCCCCCACCTGCCCTGACTTGCGACATCCCGCAGTCTGCAGCCACAGCCCCGGCAACGGGGGGCAGTCGGAGTCATTCACGGGTTTACCCTCCTTCAATTAATCGAAGTGTATGCTGTTTATTTTTAATTCTATCGCGGCAGGGCAGCCCACCTCACTCACCGACATCATCTGACGAGTAAAACGAAGGCTTAGACCGCAACTGTCGACTGATACTTCCAAGACATGCACACGGCTCATTCCGGTTCCTCCAACCCGCCTATGCGTCCGATTTCGACACAGTGATTAGCGAACTGTACCTCTTGAGGGCAAGAAACCGTCACCGCCTCGAACAGACATGAAGACCCCAGGATCTGCGAGAATTGTCCGTCCTGGCCGCCGCCATGACGACCACTGACACCATACGCGAGAGAAACGCCTGGGAAATACCCGCAGATAGGCAGGGAGGAAACAAGAAAGATTCGCCTGGACCCCACCAGACAACATCCGACGGATCCCGCAAGACGTTTATGACCAACTAGCGGTACCTGGTTTCCGTCCGACGGATCATCCTCAGGGTCAGCGTTGACATTCCTACCGAAAGCCACATCGACGGCCCCCAACTTTCATGAACCCGGCACTTGACCCTATACTACTATTCCTCGCCAAGATAGGCGGCCGCCCCGGGGCTGTGACAGTCATGCGCTGCGTGACTGGAGCGCCCTCGGATCCCACTACCAGACTAGGATCCCGCCGTGGCTATGGTCCGATGTCCTCTGTACTTCCCTGCCCTAGTGGAATTTCAACTTCACAGGTCGAATCGAAGTTTTGAGTGCCTTCAGCTGTTTCCTACTACCTGGTTCACGTCTTGGCTCGCAAGGGTTGCCGATACGAACGCAGCCGATAGTAGTGGTCCTTGGCTGTTTATCATCAACCACTAGGAAGAAGGAAGTAAAGGCCAGAGGAGCAGATCTGAAGCGTAAGTCTTGTTTGTTGCGGGAAGGAATCGACAAGATTACTCGCTGCACCGATTCTAACACTAAAGCAAGATGCTTGTCATAGAGCAACGGTCGAGACAGGGAATATTTGAAATTCAAGTCTGCTTTAGCCTGTTAGAGAAGACAAAACGGGGGCAGAGTCGCCGATCACTTTACTTCAGGGCAGCAGTCAGGATCCCATGAGGAAGCGCAAAGAGTTGACAGTCACAGGCAAGAGATTGGCGCTAGGCGCGCGTTCGACGATGTGACTGTACACAAGCTGGCTACTCTCAGCCGACATGGCGTACTGTGCCGCCCTCAGGATACGAACGGAGACTACGTTACGTGGGAAACTTATCGCGCGAAGATGCTGCCATACGTGCTGTACAGGCGCCTTCTGTGAGACAGGACCATTGGCGACTTATACGGCCGCGCTTCGGTGGCTCTTGGTCGAAGAATGGATCATTTACGTGTGGTCGCACAATTCTTTTGTCACAAAGATCGTGAATCCGTGACAGGCTGCGATCCGAGCCTTCCAGCAGCCATTTTCGACGTGGCTGCGAGCAACTCTGGACTGCTCCGCCCCAAGTCTTTTGGTCGCCGTTCATAAACTCAAGGATGCGTCCTAATCGGATTGCTTGCAGGCTCACTTCATCACTTCCCCCTTAGCCCTCTCCATCGCCTGTACTTCCTTGTTTGTGTGGATACCTCTCGCCCGGTTCGACTTCGGGACCGAACCTTCATCTCGTGGCCCCCGAGCAGGGCTAAGCGACTGGGATCAAAGGGAGCAAGGCAAGACGTCTCGGCCAGGGAGTAAACGACTCGACTTTTATCAAACCGTGCCAATAACGTAAAGCAAACGGTTTCTTTGGGACTAACATGGCGTCTCATTCAACCTTGGCGTCTCGGCAACATGGCACAATCTTGAGTAGGATGAAGGCGCCAAAGCTTGCGCTAACTCAACAAAAGAAGGCATTCTTCACCAGGAACCCGGTAGCCATCTCCTCCTAGGCGCTTTCAGCGGGTTTCCGCCAATGTGAAGGCTCTTTTACCGAGTCTGCTTCCCTGGCGACGAAGGGCAACTGATTTTGAACCGGGCGAGAGCACGTACCGCCATCAATCAAAAAAGCCTTATCGGCCCTCAAGAGGCCTCAGTAGGGATGATGCCCGCCTTGCAGTCGCTCCTTTTACGGAGAATTGATATTGATGATAAACACAGAGTCTTCTTGCAGGCAAAATAAACGAGCCAGAATACTCGAAATTCGCTGGCTGGGCGAGCTTTCGACGCTCAAACCTCTTTTGCTGACTACCAAACTAGGTTATCCTAGGTTGCCCTATGTTTTCAGACTCTGGGGTAACCTGACGGACCAAGTCTAGGTGAACGTTTGATGAACGGAATAGGAAAATGCTTTGGTTCTCGATCATTCTCATAGCGTCAGTGCGGTCGACCTGGAATCAGTCTCTTCTCCGCCTGGATCATCCACGGAGATACGTTGTAGAGGGGTCGAGAACAAGCGCATTGCTGCTTCACGACTAGCGTCCGATGAGAATATAGTTACATGCTATCTTTCATCTTCTGGAAGACACCACAAGAAGACAGCAACGAGGGAAACCGATGTGTGGTTAGGTTGTGATTAGGTGGGCATCTCCCGGCGAAGGGGGGTGCGCGTCCCTCTCAAGCCATCGGAAGCCATGGGCCCCGCTGATGAAGTTGGAAGCCTCGACTTCGGACGGACAGCGGAGACCCCGGGAACCTTCGGGAGGTGGACTCGCACTTGAAGCCTGAAGAGGGCCCGCGCCAGATCTCGGGGAGCCGGGCCCCTCTCCGAAGCAGCGGGAGGCTTATTGCCGGCGCGGGAACTTTAGTGTCTGAGTCAACGCGGGATCTCGGACGGCTTAGACCTGAGTCAAGTGTCTGAGAGAGAGATTTGGGTCGAGCGTAGAGCCCAGCACTACCACTACTTTACTTCCCGTCGTTGGGCTGGCTGGATGGCTCGCTTACACGGCTTCGGTTGTGGAGAAATACCAAGGCCAAGCCGCGTGCCGCATCGACGCAAAACGTAAAGCTTGACCGCAGGAGACCAACTTGTTTCGTTGCGTGCCGTGGGGTTTTTCTTCTTCACTACTGAAGTTTTCAGACAGTGACAGCTGGAACGTTGGCGATTGGGCCGGGGAGGAATGATCTAGGGAGGGTGCTAGAGCTGCCCAGGCGGGTCGGACGGCTTTCACGGGACTGTTGGATAGAGTCTGTTGGATGTACGCCCTTTCTTGCGTAAAACATAGAACGAAGGGATGACACGCGTATCCGACTGTTGCGAAGTCTTTGCCGTGATGCTAATGAGGATCAATCATTTTGATACGGTCGCTTGGACGTCAATGTTTCGAAGAGCGTGAGGGCTTTAATGCTGTCTGACATGATTGCATTTCTAGAGGATCAAGAAGATAGAGAAATTGTAGCAGATTCCAATCAAGAAACCATGGGATTTTCCTGGATGGATAGAGCCTCAATCAACCAAATCTATTACAGGTTGAGATAACATGGAGAGAAATGTATCTATGTTCCCCGTCGTGGAGTAGCTTCTCCAACACCTCCAAGTACAAC